TATATTTTTGGAATGAGCACGTCAAGATTTATAACCCTGATTTTTTTGAGAATTTTTAAACGACATTATCAAAAATGAAATTTTCCACTATGACCCTTAAGCAAATTTCGAACCATTTTTGACGATTTTCGAAATTTAAATAAACACATTTTCTTGTAGATTTAGAGCCACAGACATCGCTTCCCGCCTCATTTCTTCGATAACTCCAACCGTTTTCCCAGAATCGCCCACTGAAATATCGCAATTTTAAAAAATTCCAAAAAATTCGAATTTCACTCTGAATATTTCGAAAATATTGCTGCCGGACCCTAAACAAGCTATATTTTTGGAATCAGCACGTCAAGATTTATAACCCTGAATTTTTTGAGAATTTTTAAACGACTTTATCAAAAACGAAATTTTCCACTATGGCCCTTAAGCAAATTTCGAACCATTTTTGACGATTTTCGAAATTTAAATAAACACATTTTCTTATAAATTTAGGGCTACAGAAACCACTTCCCGCCACATTTCTTCCATAACTCCAAACGTTTACTCAGAATCGCCCACTGAAATATCGCAATTTTCAAAAATTAAAAAAAAATTACACTTCGAATATTTCGAAAACATGGCTTTTGAGCCTAAACACGCTCTATTTTTGGAATCAGCCCGTCAGGATCTATAAACTTGAATTTTTTTTGAGAATTTTTAAACGATTTTTTTCAAAAATGAAATTTTCCAATATGTATGCAAATTTCGAGCCATATTCGACGATTTTCGAAATTTAACTAATACATTTTCTTGTAGAATTAGGGCCACAGAACTCACTTCCCGCCTCATTTCTTCGTTAATTCTAATCGGTTTTCCAGAATCGCCCAATGAAATATCGCAATTTTTTATAATTAAAAAAAAAATCGAATTTCACTCCGAATAATTGGAAAATATTCTCGGTGACCCTAAACATGCTATATTTTTGGAATCAGGACGTCAAGATCTATAACTCTGAATTTTTTGAGAATTTTTAAACGACTTTATCAAAAATGAAATTTTCCAAACTATGACTCATGCAAATTTCGAACCATTTTTGACGATTTTCGAAATTTAAATAAACACATTTTTTTGTAGATTTAGAGCCACAGAAGTCACTTCCCGTCTCATTTCTTCGATAACTCCAACCGTTTTTTCAGAATCGCCCACTGAAATATTTAAAAAATTTCAAAAAATTAGAATTTCAATCGGAATAGCAGCACGTCAAGATCTATAGATCTATATCTACCTATATATATATATATATATATATAACCCTGAATTTTTTGAGAAGCTTTAGACGACTTTTTCAAAATTGAAATATTCCACTATTCCCTCAGGCAAATTTCGACCCATTTTCGACGATTATCTAAACTTAATGAAACACATTTTCTTGTAGATTTCGGGCCCCAGAAGTCAATTTTGGTTAACATTTTACCATCTGGACAGTATTCCTAAAACACATCTAAAATCTTACAACAATCGGTCCAGTAGTTTCGAGATTATCGTCTGGTAAATATTGACACAGACGACAGACAGACGGCAGACAGACCCCAAACAGACAGACGACAGACAGACGACAGACAGACGGCAGACAGACCACAAACAGACAGACGACAGAGCAACGACAGAGAGACGACAGAGAGACGGCAGGCAGACGAAAGACAGACGGCAAACAGACGAAAGACATACGACAAAGAGACGACGGAGAGACGACAGACAGACGAAAGACAAACGACAGACAGACGACAGACAACGACAGACAGACGATAGACAGACGACAGACGACAGACAGATGACAGACAGACGACAGACAGATTACCGACAGACGATAGACAGACGATAGACAGACAGACAGACAGACGGACAGACGACAGACGGACGGCAGAACGACGACGCACATACAGACAGACGGACGAGAAAACATTAAATTAGCAATTCGCCGAGGAAAAAAATTTCCGAAAATATTTTCGATTTATTATGTTTTTAAAGGACGTATTTGAAACAGGAATTTGTCGTAAGGGATCAATAAAACTTTAAAAACGTATTTAGTATTAAGGAGACTTCAGAAAGTTAAAAAAGGATTTACAGTTATTTTGGCTGACTTTCTCCTAGTCTTCAAGCACAATTAATCTAATTAAGCAAGTCCAGTGTCTTATATACACAATTTATAACATTTTTAGTTAGTTTTTAGTTAGGTGACAGGCAGACTACAGAGAGACCACAGACAGACAGATAGACGACAGACGGAAAGACCACAGACAGACGACGTAAAGACGACAGACGGAAGACAGACAGATAACAGGCAGATGACAGACAGACGACAGATAGATAGACGATAGACGACCGATAGATTACAGACAGACGATAGACAGACAGACAGACAGACAGACAGACAGACAGACAAACAGACAGACAGACAGACAGGCAGACAGACGACAGACATACAGACAGACAGACGACACACAGACAGACGACAGACAGACGACAGACAGTCGACAGACGACAGACAGTCGACAGACGACAGACAGTCGACAGACGACAGACAGTCGACAGACGACAGACAGTCGACAGACGACAGAGAGTCGACAGACGACAGACAGTCCATAGACGACAGACAGTCGATGGACAGACAGACAGACAGACAGACTGACGGGCAGACAGATAGACAGACAGACGATAGACAGACATACGACGAACAGACAGACAGACGGAATGACGAGAAAACATTAAATTAGCAATTCGCCGGGGAAAAAAAATCCGAAAATATTTTCGATTTATTACCTTTTTGAAGGACGTATTTGAAACAGGAATTTGTCGTAAGGGATCAATAAAACTTTAAAAACGTATTTAGTATTAAGAAGACTTCAGAAAGTTAAAAAAAGATTTAAAATTATTTTGGCTGACCTTTTGCCACCCTTCAACCACAATTAATCGAGTTAAGCAAGTCCAGTGTCTTATATACAGAATTTATAACAGTTTTAGTTAGTTTTTAGACAGACAGACAGGCAGACGACAGACAGACTACAGACAGACCAGAGGCAAACCACAGACAGACCACAGACAGACGATAGACGGACAAGTGACAGACAGACGACGTAATGACGATAGACAGATGACAGGCAGACGATAGACGAACGACAGATTACAGACAGACGATAGACAGACAGACACAGAGAGAGACAGACGGACAGACGACAGACGGACGACAGATGACAGACTGACAAACGACAGATAGACGACAGATAGACGATAGACGACCGACGGATTACAGACAGACGATAGACAGACAGACAGACAAACAGACGACAGACGGACGACAGACAGACAGACAGACAGACATACGACGAACAGACATACAGACGGACGGACGAAAAAACATTAAAGTAGCAATTCGTAGGGTAAAAATATTAGCGAAAATATTTTCGACTTTTTTTGAAAGACGAATTTGAAACAGGAATTTGTCGTAGGAGATCAATCAAACTTTAAAAACGTATTTAGTATTAAAAAGACAAAAAGTTAAGTCAGGATTTAAAGTTATTTTGGCAGTCCTTTCCCCACCCTTCAAGTACAATTAATCGAGTTAAGCAAGTCCAGTGTCTTATATACACAATTTATAAAATTTTTAGTTCGTTTTTAGTTTTATTATTCCCAGTAATCCCTACATTTAAAAAAAAACGTTAGAAGTGGGTAATTAAAGTACAGAAAAACTAATTTTCTTTACAAAATTCTGTCATGAGGTTTCCAACCTCTTATTAAACACAAATAAATCTATTTGGATAGTTATGTGTAACACTAAAACAACAAATTCCCAAAATTAAAAAAAAAACAATTCAATCAAAATATCCTGCATAAGCAATTTTAAAAAATAAAATACTTAAGGAAAATTCGTGAATGGAAGCATGTTATTCCCCTCATCTTATACGGAAACATGGTATTCTTCTCATTTCAAGCCAGAATTAGTATCCAAAATTATGAGATGACGTCATCAAATTTTTGGAAAGGATGAACAGATAAATTTCGATCAACGATTTACCGTGTTCACGATAACTTTCGAGCCTATACACTTCAGTGGATTCAGTGTTGTAGTGGTTAACATATATTGTAAAATTTTGTTGTAGATACCTATAATTGATTTTTTTTTTTTTTAACGGACGTAAATATAAAAGAAAACATCAAAGAAGATTGCCGATAACTAATAAAAAATAACAATAAAAAATGACACACAGAGAGAAGAACAAAAGAAGACAAACATACATATTTAAGTCACTGAGATAAAAACACTATTGAGACGAGAAAGTAGAAGGAATACAAGAATTTCGTAGGATCGGAAGCAAAAATAAGTTAACAACTACGTTAGAGTAAATCTGTGTTAGAACCTTGAGAGATTTTAAATATTTCAAGGTTCTAAAACAAATTTGCCCTTTCGGCTATATAAAAAACTAAACCTGTAGTTTCTGCGTTGCACTGATATTTGTACAAAATTTTCACAAGAACTAGTGTGTCAAATTTTGAAAATAAATAAACAGCCATCTAAATATTACTAGTAAAAAGGCAGTACAGGAACAATTATATACATATAAAATGGCCACATAACTTGTCAAAAAGTCTAATTTTAGCGACGATGGCAAAACAAACTAAAATCAAATAGCACGGTTAAATGTTACTTGACTAGTCTCAATTTACTGTGGCGATCAGAGAAAATGTGTTATCAGTGGCACGAAGGTGATCTTTCACTAAAATTTGCTACGCTTATTATGGTAAACTCGTATTAATTACAAATAATGGTAGTAGTACCTAACTAAAAGCAGTGAAATGTGTACAAACATACTAACTAGTGTCGATGATAATAAAAAGCGCATACGTCATATTTTTGTAGCTTTAATTCATTGTGGCCCACTTGACTGTACACTTTGGGCACTACCTTCAATAATTCTCGACAAGAAGTTTATCATTGCTTTTACCTGTCATGTTCGGAACTAATAACGGCAGTCGTAACTGCATTTCCTACAAACCCAGCGAAGCAGCATGATGTAACGTCCTCGTAGAAGCTATTCTTCACGGTTTATTACCGGTCGCTGGATGGGGAAAGTTAAAGAAGAGAAATTTCTCCGGCGGTTTCTTACGACAGTTCAGTAAAACCTTTCAGTCCAAAAAGAACAAACCCATCAAGTTCAAGAGCAGAGTGTCCACCGAAATAGTAGGAGTGCCGGTGCATTACATGAAGTGTTAAGTGAGTTACAATGTCCCAACCATGATCCTGTATGCCCTCCTGGACCTCCTCTACGTGTTCATTTATTTATTCTGTTACATAATGTTCAACGTGCTAACATACATGCTCTACGAGGGCAACTTCATCGAGGGTTTATCCCGATACGCCTCAATCATAAAAATCTTCCTGTAAACCCGCGTGTCATACCAGTGAAAGTGCTCTTTACCGACCTAACCCAACGCCAGAGAAAAGTTCGCGGTTCATCGACTGCACAAAACATTAAAAATGGAAAGTGGTTTCGTCGGGATTGTCCTCTTCCTCGTCATCCTCGTGTACTTATATTTCAAACACGCCTACACGTACTGGAAGTCCCGGGGCGTCCCGCAGCTCGCTCCCTCGTTCCCGTTCGGGGACATGGCGAGCGTCATCTTCAGGCGCCAGAACATGGCCAACAAAATCAAAGAAATTTACGACCTGATGAGGGCGCAGGGACACAAGTTCGCGGGCTTGTACTTTTTCAGCAGGAAGGCGTTCCTGCCGCTGGATCCGGTGCTGATCAAGAAGATACTCGCTCAGGACTTCCAGCATTTCCACGATCGGGGAATATATTACGATGAGGAGAACGATCCGATAAGCGCGCATCTGTTCTCGTTGGCCGGACCTAAATGGAAAAATCTGAGGGCTAAATTGACACCGGCGTATTCGCCAGGCAAATTGAAATATATGTTTCAAACTATACTGGACTGCGGTGAGGAAATGGTTGCGAGATTGAAGGAGATAGCGGAGAGTGACGGAAGAGTTGAAATTAAGGAGATATTAGCAAGGTAACGTGAATGGAAATTTTCTGTAGAAATCCGACACAAATTTAAAGTTATAGATTTGACCGGGCTGTTTGTTAAAAAATTCATTCGCCTGAATATGTCTGCAACCTATTGAACTCTTGCACAACAGATACGTTTCGCATCAATGTTTTGCAACGAGGAAATAGGTTTAACAAAGAGTTAGTTTCTTAAATAATTCGCAGTCCCTGGTGAAACACTTAAAGCGACTTAAAGTTATGCAATCTCATGCAATACATAATTTTCTGTTTATTGAAATAGCAATGAAAAGTAAAAATTGAAGATAAACATAGAATTATAACTTGCACAATCTATAAATTTTGAAGACATTCAATTAAATAATTTTTTACTTCCTACGGGTATATAATTATTAAAATATACTGAACACTTTTTATTAAACACACATTTTAAATGTATTATAGTGGGTATTACACCTTTCATCTCTTGTTACAATGTTTCAAAGTGAACGCGTCTAATGAAGGTTACCTCAATTATTTGCTTGTCTTTTTTTGCAGCGAAAGTGATGCAACGAAAAAAGCTTTATTAGACGTCCCACTTCAACAGAGCATTTATTATTAACATATTAATACTTCCAACGTTGTTTTCTCCGGGGTGATTAAACAAATGTCTTACAAAATTAGCCAGGAGTTTTATTTTGTACTTAATTCACTGTCGCAGCTTTAAATATAATCAATTTGGGAGTTTTTATGTCCCCTAGAGTATGAAAAAATAGGTCCCCGTTTCCGTCTGTGTGTCCTTTGTCTGTCTGTAGTCTGTGTCAATTTTTATTAGCAAATTAAATGCAATATTTTTACAGGGTTTGAATTAAAAAATGATAATGAAAATCCCTATACGTATATTATCGATAACTCATTTTCTAGTCGATGCAAATCAAAAATTTTAGGAAACCTACTCTTAAGTTCTGTTAATAATAAACTGGGAAATTTATTTGAATATTCTGAAAAATATTGATTCAATAAGGGATAAAAACTTATATTTTCTCTAACCTTAGTAATTTACAGTGGAAGAAAATTTTTGTTCACAATCTTTAAAGAGCAGCTCTTTGTGCAGGTGGCTGCCTGGCTGTAAGTCATAAATTAGTGGAACGCCCGGAAGTGGCTAATTTTGCATTTTGCACAACCTCGAGATCATATGTGTCAACAAACGGTCAGTCGAAGACGAAATCGTATTTTTGTAAAAAAAAATTAAAAAAAAAGACCGACCGACGGGTTGAATGACTGAGTGGCTGGCTAACCAACCAACTAACTGGCTAACTGACTGAGTGCCTGAGTGAACTATTCACTGACAGACTGATTGACTGGCTGACTGACCCTACTGATTGTGTGATTGATTGACTGGCTTCGGTCTTCGGTTTCTAAAATTTTCGATTTCTCGATGTTTGAATTTTCGGTTTCCAAATTTTTCGATAATGTTAGTTTTTTGGGATTTTTCCAGGTTTTTGATTCTTCAATTTTCCGTTCACTTTTCAATATTTCAATATGTCAGTTTTGGAAATATTTCGATTGTTCAATTTATCAATTTTTCCATTTCCCGACTTCTCAATGTTTCGATTTTTCAGTTTTTCAGTTCAATTTTTCGATTTTTGGATGTTTCAGTTTCGGGATTTTTCAATTTTTCTGTTTTGGGATTTTTCAATATTTCGATACTTCAATTTTATGTTTTTTAAAATTTATCATTTTTAGTCTTCAATTTTTCGGTTTTTAAATTTTTCGATTTTTTTCGTTTCTGAATATTCGATTTTTCGATTTAACAATTTCTGGATTAATCGATTTTTGATTTTCCCATTTCCCGATTTCGCGACTTTTCATTTTTCAATTCTTTAGTATTTCGATTTTTTAAGTTTTCAATTTTCCAGGTTTTTGATTTTTCAATTTCTTAATTTTTCGGTGCCTCAGGTTTGAGATTTTTCAGTTTTTCGATCCTCCAGTTTTTCGATTTCTCGATTTTTACTTCCCGAGCGTAAGCAAAGGAAGTATTGTAATCGAGTCCGTCGGCCGACTCTCTACTTTTACGTTTTCTCGATCTTTCATGACCCCTAGAAGACGAAGAAATAGGTTTCCCATTTCCGTCTGTCTGTCTGTCCGTCCGTCTGTCCGTCTGTCCGTCTGTCTGCCGTCCCGGATTTTTATTAGACAGATAATCTCCGAAAGTACTGGACCGATTGTTGTAAAATTTTGTACTTATATTAGGAATATCATGTAGATGTTTTAAAATTACCATAAGCATGGTAAATTTTTTATCAAAATGTATTTGCTCTTCCCCCTTAAAAAATTGATGACGTCACTCCAAAATTTTGCTGAATAAATCCTATCTAAAATGTACAAAATATGATGAGTCTGTACTTGTGATTTATCATTCCAATCATATTTCTTGGATTTGCATATACACGGTGACTCAAAAAAATTAATGAATGCGTCAATTTATTTTATTGATTTAATCAGGAATTACAGAACCGAATGCTGTGAAATCTTGGAGATATTTTAAAGTTATTATAAGCATGGTATACTTTTGTTCAAAATGTATTTGTTCATCCCTCCTAAAAAAATTGATGACGTCACCCTTAAATTTTGCTGAATAAATCCTATCTAAAATGCAAAAAAGATGATGAGTTTGTACTTGTGATTTATCATTCCATTCATATTTTTTTAGATTTTCTTAAGAGGTGGCTCAAAAAAATTAATGAAGTCAATTTATTTTATTCATTAAATTAAAGGCAACACTTATTATTAGTATTAAATTGGACCAACCCAATTTGGTAGACACAAAGTTTTTTAAAGTAAAAACTCGGTTGAAACATAAGGGTAACACGCTTATTTACATCTACTTTAACATTACAGACGTGCATTTGTTTTGTGCGCTGACAAGGTTCCGCGAATGTGGTATAGACATGTGGTATAGACATAGGAAGTATTGTAATCGAGTCCGTCGGCCGACTCTCTACTTTTACATTTTCTCGATCTTTCATGACCCCTAGAAGACGAAGAAATAGGTCTCCTATTTCCGTCTGTCTGTCCGTCTGTCCGTCTGTCTGCCGTCCCGGATTTTTATTAGACAGATAATCTCCGAAAGTACTGGACCGATTATTGTGAAATTTTGTACTTATATTGGAGGAATATCATGTAGATGGTAAAACGCTAACCAAAATTTGTCTAATCATCCCCACCACTAATGCGATGACGTCACTTCAAAATCGTGCATAGTAAATGGCTTTTAAATTGTATAAAATAACATAGTCCTACACATGTAGTTTACGACTCCGAATTGAGTTTTTACCCGAAACGTCCAGATTTTTGGAAAAAAAATCAAAATTATAAAACAACATTTTGCAATTTAATTTTGAATCTGCTAACCCGAATGTTTTGAAATGTTGCGGATGTTTTAAGGCTGTAAAGAGCATCATAAATCTTCAGTCAAAATATATTTGGTTATCCCCTCCAAAAACTTGATGACGTCAGCTCAAAAATTTGCCGAATAAATCCTATTTCAAATGTACAAAATATGATGAGTCTGTAATTGTGATATATCACTCGGTTCATATTTTTTGGATTTGCATATACAGGGTGACTCAAAAAAATTAATGACTGCGTAAATTTATTTTACTGATTTACTCAGGAACTACTAAACCGAATGCTTTGAAATCTTGAAGATGTTTTAAGGTTATAAAGAGCATAATAAATGTTTAGTCAAAATAAATTTGCTTATCCCCTCCAAAAAAATGATGACGTCAGCTCGAAAGTTTGCCGAATAAATCCTATCTAAACTGTAAAAAATGATGAGTCTGTACTTGTAATTTATCACTCCATTCATATTTTTACTTCCCGAGCGTAAGCAAAGGAAGTATTGTAATCGAGTCCGTCGGCCGACTCTCTACTTTTACGTTTTCTCGATCTTTCATGACCCCTAGAAGACGAAGAAATAGGTCTCCCATTTCCGTCTGTCTGTCCGTCTGTCCGTCTGTCCGTCTGTCCGTCTGTCCGTCTGTCCGTCTGTCCGTCTGTCCGTCCGTCTGTCCGTCTGTCCGTCTGTCCGTCCGTCTGTCCGTCTGTCCGTCTGTTGTCCCGGATTTTTATTAGACAGATAATCTCCGAAAGTACTCGACCGATTGTTGTGAAATTTTGTACTTATATTAAGAATATCATGTAGATGGTAAAACGCTAACCAAAATTTGTCTAATCATCCCCACCACTAATGCGATGACGTCACTTCAAAATAATTTGGTTATCTTCTACAAAAAACTGATGACGTCAGCTCAAAAGTTTGCCGAATAAATCGTATCTAAAATGTACAAAATATGATGAGTCTGTACTTGTGATTTATCATTCCAATCATATTTTTGGATTTGCATATGCAGGGTGACTCAAAAAAATTAATGAATTTGTTTACAGTTTCTCTGTTTGGCTCTCACGTATGCTGTTACGCTTGTCATCTTAAATTAAGAATGTTTATACATAAACGATTTTCAGTTGCCGTATACGTGAGTAAATTGTTTCGTTATTTTATTGATTATAAAAAATCAATATTCAAAACGACCCAATTCATTTTCCCGAAAATTTGGGAATACAATAATTTTATTCTTAGTATTACACTACATCTATCCCAACTGATATCCGTGTCCTTGCAAAAATGTTGATGACGTCATCGCAGTTTTAAATTCCCACTACAAAAATGTAATGAGAAAAAAACACAATAGCCATGCAGTCGTCAAGTTTCCGACAGCGAGGGAAGTACTGTCTAAACTCTTTAGACCAATTTTTTGGATTTGCATATACACGGTGACTCAAAAAAATTAATGAATGCGTAAATATATTTTATTGATTTAATCCGAATGCTCTGAAATCTTGCAGATGTTTTAAGGTCATAAAGAGCATAATAAATGTTTAGTCAAAATATATTTGGTTATCTTCTACAAAAAACTGATGACGTCAGCTCAAAAGTTTGCCGAATAAATCGTATCTAAAATGTACAAAATGTGATGAATATGTAGTTGTGATTTATCATTCCATTCATATTTTTGGATTTGCATATGCAGGGTGACACAAAAAAATTAATGAATGCGTGAATTTATTTTATCGATTTAATCAGGAATTACAAAACCGAATGCTTTGAAATCTTGGGAATATTTTAAAATTATTAGAAGCATAATATATATACGTGAGTAAATTGTTTCGTTATTTTATTGATTATAAGAAATCAATATTCAAAACGACCCAATTCATTTTCCCGAAAATTTGGGAATACAATAATTTTATTCTTAGTATTACACTACATCTATCCCAACTGATATACGTGTCCTTGCAAAAATGTTGATGACGTCATCACAATTTTTTTTTTAAATTCCCACTACAAAAATGTAATGAGAAAAAAAACACAATAGGTATGCAGTCGTCAAGTTTCCGACAGCGAGGGAAGTACTGTCTAAACTCTTTAGACTAATTTTTCAGTTATATTTTTACTTCCCGAGCGTAAGCAAAGGAAGTATTGTAATCGAGTCCGTCGGCCGACTCTCTACTTTTACGTTGTCTCGATCTTTCATGACCCCTAGAAGACGAAGAAATAGGTCTCCTATTTCCGTCTGTCTGTCCGTCTGTCCGTCTGTCTGCCGTCCCGGATTTTTATTAGACAGATAATCTCCGAAAGTACTGGACCGATTATTGTGAAATTTTGTACTTATATTAGAGGAATATCATGTAGATGGTAAAACGCTAACCAAAATTTGTATAATCATCCCCACCACTAATGCCATGACGTCACTTCAAAATTGTGCATAGTAAATGGGTTTTAAATTGTATAAAATAGCATAGTCCTACACATGTAGTTTACGACTCCGAATTGAGTTTTTACCCGAAACGTCCAGATTTTTTGAAAAAAAATCAAAATTATAAAACAACATTTTGCAATTTAATTTTGAATCTGCTAACCCGAATGTTTTGAAATGTTGTGGATGTTTTAAGGTTATAAAGAGCATCATAAATCTTCAGTCAAAATATATTTGGTTATCCCCTCCAAAAACTTGATGACGTCAGCTCAAAAGTTTGCCGAATAAATCCTATTTCAAATGTACAAAATATGATGAGTCTGTAATTGTGATATATCACTCGGTTCATATTTTTTGGATTTGCATATACAGGGTGACTCAAAAAAATTAATGAATGCGTAAATGTATTTTACTGATTTACTCAGGAACTGCAAAACCGAATGCTTTGAAATCTTGAAGATGTTTTAAATTTATCATAAGGATGGTAAATTTTTGATCAAAATGTATTTGGTCGTCCCCCCTAAAAAAATTTATGACGTCACCACAAAATTTTGCTGAATAAATTCTATCTAAAATGTACAAAATATGGTGAGTCTGTTCTTGTAATTTATCATTCCATTCAAATTTTTTCGATTCCATATACAGGATAACTCAAAAAAATTAATGAATGCATGAATTTATTTTATTGAGTTAATCAGGAACTATAAAACCGAATGCTTCGAAATCTTGCAGATATTTTAAGGTTATAAAAAGCATAATAAATGTTTAGTCAAAATATATTTGCTTATCTCCTCCAAAAAATTGATGACGTCAGCTCGAAAGTTTGCCGAATAAATCCTATCTAAACTGTACAAAATATGATGAGTCTGTACTTGTGATTTATCATTCCATTCATACTTTTTGGATTTGCATATACAGGGTGACCCAAAAGAATTAATGAATACGTAAATGTATTTTATTGATTTAATCAGGAACTACAGAACCGAATGTTTTGAAAAATGAATGAAATGTTTTAAGGTGATAAAGAGCATAATAAATTTTTAAGCAAAATATATTTGGTTATCTTCTCCAAAAAACTGATGACGTCAGCTCAAAAGTTTGCCGAATAAATTCTGTCTACAATATACAAAATATGATGAGTCTGTACTTGTAATTTATCATTCCATTCATATTTTTTGAATTTGCATATACCGGGTGACTCAAAAAAAATAATGAATGCGTAAATTTATTTTATTGGTTTACTCAGGAACCACATAACCGAATGCTTTGAAATCTACTGCGAAAAAAACAATAATAGACATGCAGTCGTCACGTTTCCGACAGCGAGGGAAGTACTGTCTAAACTCTTTAGACCAATTTTTAGATTTTTAAAATTAGCAATTTTTCGATTTCTCGTTTTATCGATATCTGATTTATCGAGATTTCCATGTTTCAATTTTTTAATTGTTCAATATCTCAGTTTTTGGTTTCTTCGATTTCTTTTATTCAAAATTTTTAAAATGTGCACTTTTCGATTTTGGCCTATTTCAATTTCCTAATTTTTGAATTTTTCGATAATTCCGTTTTGGGATTTATCAATATTTCGATTCTTCAATTTTTCGATGTTTCGTTTTCTCTATCTTTTGACTTCTCGGTTTTAGATTTTTCGGTTTTTCAATTTTTCCACTTATCGAGATTTAGGCAATTCGATTTTTTTGTTGTTCAGTTTTTAAATTTTTTCATATATAAATTTTTAAAAAAATTTTCATGTCTTAATTTTTGATTTTTCGTTTTTGGTCTATTTCGACTTCTCAAATTTTCGAATGTTCTACGTCTAGATTTCTCAATCTTTCTATGTTTCGGTTTATTGATGTCATTCTATGAATATTTCGATTTTTCAGTTTTTCGTCATTCCAGTTTTGGAAATTTTTCAAAATTTTTGGTGACTGAGTGAGTGACTGACTGAATAGGTGACTTAGTGGCTGACTGACTGTAACAATGTCCTATTGCAAAACTCCTAATTAAACTCAAAATGGGTCAAAAACGGCTTTAAATTCAGACAAAACCAAAGAGAAATTTCAAAACTACCCCTCCAAAGGTCATCAAAATTTTCTAATGCACCTTTTCACTTTTACGTAGGTACAGCACCGACGTGATCGGCTCCTGCGCATTCGGCATCGAATGCAACAGCATGCGGAACCCGGACGCCGAATTCCGCCTCATGGGGAAGCGCGCCTTTACCCAGACCGTCGGCGACGTCCTCAAGATGACCGTCATCCGCAGCTTCCCGTCCCTCGCCAGACTCCTCGGCCTCGGCGTCTTCACCGCCACCGTCACCCGGTTCTTCCAGGACGTCGTCAACGAGACCATCCGCTTCCGCGAGGAGAACGGGGTGGCCCGCAGCGACTTCCTGCAGCTGCTCATCCAGCTCAAGAACCGGGGCAGGCTCGAGGGCGACGGCGACGAGCGGGAGGCGGCGCCCGCCGTCGGGACGTCTTTGACGCTGGACGAGGCCGCAGCGCAAGCCTTCATTTTCTTCTTGGCTGGGTTCGAGACGACGTCCACTACAATCAGCTTCGCCTTGTTTGAGATGGCCCAAAACGAGGCCATACGCAACAAAGCGCGGGCTGAAATTAGCAGGGTGCTGGAGAGGCACAGCGGAAAATTGACTTATGACGCAGCGATGGAGATGGAATATTTAGATACGATTATTTCAGGTTCGTTGTTTGGTTTGGGGAATAGTGAGGGTTAACTGGGGCTCAGTACAACTCGGTCGTGAAATTTGATTCAAACTAGCAGGGTTGCGTTTGTGGGGAAATTAGTAAAGGTGACGGAGTAACGTAGTAGTTATTTTTAGCTACAATTTCGTTTTTATTCGTCTATGGTGAAAATTCCGGACGAGGGTTTTTACCAGGACCGAAAACTGGTGGACGAACTACATTTTTGACGTTTGCGTCATACTTTATACGGGATTCCCCTGTGTGGACCATTTGAAAAGCACTCATCCCCACTCATCTGGAATAACCTGTTTTATCTCCTCCTCTCTCCTTCCTTCCCACTGATTCTTGTTCTCTATAAATTCTTCACACTCCCCCTTTACAGTCAAAATAAATTTATCCTTTCAGTTCCCTCGTCGTCCAACTTCTTTCCTGTTTTGTCTACCTTAATTTCCTGGAAGTGTCGCTTTGTCGACCTGACGCGATCCCATCCCGGACAACGTCTTGTTACAACTTATAGTTTAAATATTCATTGAGAATGTTAAACCCGTTTAGGCGGAAGAGGGTCATCAACGAGTCGGTTTAAGTACAGTCGTACGAACAATTAGATTTAAAAACTGTAATGTCAATTTCTTGGAGCGGTGAACTAGATCTCTGGATTGTTCGTTGTTTACTTTGTACGCGGTGAATATCGAACGTTAGCCAGATTAAACAAAAGCTCTTCGTACTCGACCCCAAAACAATCAAAACGTGATCAATTCATTGAAAACTTCGAGTGAAATGTTTGTTTTCGTTAAAAAAATAAATTCAGTGTGACAGTAGTACACAATGGGCGTCACTGCCTACTAGTATGAGATTTGAAATATTTATTACACACATATTTGGTGGTTAATCAAGTCTGCCTTGAGAACGAAACGGAAAATGCACTCAAAAATCGAAAAATTGGAAAATTTTATAATAATTGAAAAATCAAGAATTAAAACCTAATTTATCAAAAACCGGATAATTGAGAAATCGAAAAAAATAAAAATATATAAAACTGAAAAATCAAAAAAATCGATAATTACAAAATTGAAAAATTGGATAATTTCGAAGTAGAAACGTTTTAAAAACGAAAAATTGAAAAATTAGATAATTGTAGAATAGAAAAATTACAAAATGTAAAAATCAAAAAATTGTGAAATTATGAAATTGCAAAATCAAAAACTGAAAAACTGAAAATCTAAACAATAAAGTTACCGAAAAAATCAAAAAATGAATAATTGAGACATCTAAAAATTGCAAAAATCTAAAATTGTAGAATTACAAAAGTGTGAAATCGATAAATTGAATAATCAGACATCTTGAAACACGAAAAATTGTAAAATAATTAAACTGAAAAATCAAAAACTTGAAAAATTAATAGAAATTTTGAGCAATTAAAAATCACAAAATTGGAAAATTATAAAGTAACAAAATTGAGAAATTGGATATTTGTAAACTCGAAAGTTTATTTAACTGCAAAAATGAAAAATAAAAAAATCGAAAAACTGAAAATCAAAGGGCACCAAAACCAAGAAATTGAAAGATCGAGGAATTGGAAAATCTGATAATTGAAAAACTGATTCATTAAAAACGGGACAATTGGGAAATCGAAAAATTGTAAAAACATAAAACTGAAAAATAAAAAATTGGCAAAATTACAAAATTGAAAACTTAGGTAACTTTAAAATTGAAAAACCATAGAATTGTAAAATAGAAAAACTACATACAAAATTGAAAAATTGCAAAATTCTGAAAATGAAAAATTCAAAAATTGGAAAATTGGAAATCGAAATTTCGAAATATTAAAAATAAAAAACTTTTATATCTTTAAACTGGGAGCTTTTTTTATTGTTCGAGATTTTAAAGTCGTTCCGAGACAAAGTTGTAGATTATGGTTTAAAATAATTTTGTAATAAAAAAATATTTAACAACAAATCCACAAATTTGACAACGAACAATTGAAAAATAAAAAATCGAGAAATTAGAAAATCTGATAACTGAAAAATCAAAAATTGAAAACTGATTTATTAAAAACCGGATAATTGAGAAATCGAAAAAAATAAAAATATATAAAACTGAAAAATAAAAAAAATCGACAATAACAAAATTGAAAAATTAGATAATTTCGAAGTCGAAAAGTTTTAAAAACGAAAAATTGAAAAATTAGATAATTGTAGAATAGACAAATTACAAAATTTAAAAATCAAAAAATTTTGAAATTATGAAATTGCCAAATCAAAAACTGAAAAATTGAAAACCGAAACAATAAAGTTACCGAAAAATCAAAAAATAATTATTGAGACATCTAGAAATTGCAAAAATGTAAAATTGTAAAATTATAAAAAAGTACAATCGATACATTGAAAAATCGGACATCTTGAAAAACGAAACATTGTAAAATAATTAAACTGAAAAATCAAAAACTTGAAAAATTAATAGAAATTTTGAGCAATTAAAAATCACAAAATCGAAAACTTATAAATTAACAAAATTGAGAAATTGGATATTTGTAAACTCGAAAATTTATTTAATTACAAAAATGAAAAATTGCTAAATTATTAAATTGAAAAATTGAACTGAAAATTACAAAAATCGAAAAACTGAAAATCAAAGGGTACCAAAACCAAGAAATTGAAAGATCGAGGAATTGGAAAATCTGATAATTGAAAAACTGATTCATTAAAAACGGCAGAATTGGGAAATCGAAAAATTGTAAAAATACAAAACTGAAAAATAAAAAATTGGCAAAATTACAAAATTGAAAATTTAGGTAACTTTAAAATTGAAAAATCATAGAATTGTAAAATAGAAAAACTACATACAAAATTGAAAAATTGTAAAATTATGAAAATGAAAAATTAAAAAATTGGAAAATTAGAAAATTGGAAATCGAAATTTCGAAATATTAAAAATAGAAAAAATTGATATCTTTAAACTGGGAGGTTTTTTTATTGTTCGAGTCTTTAAAGTCGTTCAGCGGCAAAGTTGTAGATTATGGTTTAAAATAATTTTTTAATAAAAAAGTATTTAACAATAAATCGACAAATTTGAAAACGAACAATTGAAAAATAAAAAATCGAGAAATTGGAAAATCTGATAACTGAAAAATCAGAAATTGAAAACTGATTTATTAAAAACCGGATAACTGAGAAATCGTAAAAACAAAAAATATAAACCTGATAATAAAAAAAATATATAGATAATTATAAAACTGAAAAATTGAATAATTCTGAAGTCAATAAGTTTTAAAAATTGAAAAATCAGATAATTGTAGAATAGAAAATTTACAAAATTTAAATATGGAAAAATTGCGAAATTATGAAATTGCAAAATCAAAAACTGAAAAACTGAAAACTGAAATTTTAAAATTTTTAAAATAAAAAAATTGAAAATCGAAACAATAAAATTATCGAAAAATCAAAAATGAATGATTAAAAAAACCAAAAATTTTAAAAACGAATAATACAAAATTGGAAATTAAGAAATTGATTAATTAAAAATCGAATAATTAACATCATGAAAAATTGCAAAAATGTAAAATTGAATAATTAAACAAGTATGAAATCGATAAATTAAAAAATCGGACATCTTGAAAAACGAAAAATTGTAAAATAATTAAACTGAAAAATCAAAAACTTGAAAAATTAATAGAAATTTTGAGCAATTAAAAATCACAAAATTGGAAAATTATAAAGTAACAAAATTGAGAAATTGGATATTTGTAAACTCGAAAATTTATTTTTGCTAAATTATTAAATTTGAAAATCCAAATGAAAAATAAAAAATCGAAAAACTGAAAATCGAAGGTTACCAAAACCGAAAAATCGAGGAATTGGAAAATCTGATAATTGAAAAACTGATTCATTAAAAACGGGATAATTGGGAAATCGAAAAATTGTACAAATATAAAACTGAAAAAACAAAAATTGACAAAATTACAAAACTGAAAAATCATACAGTTGTAAAAAAAGAAAAACTACAACATTGAGATATCGAACAAATTCAAAATTATGAAATTGAAAAACCAAAAAATTGGTAAATTGGAGATCGAAATTTTGAAATATTGAAAATCAAAAAATTAGATCCCTTTATAAACGAAAAATTGAAAAAATTAAACTAAAAAATCAAAAACTTGAAAAATCAAAATTGAAATTTTGAAAAATTGGAAATCTGTAAAATTAGGAAATTGAAAAATCGAAAAACTATTAAACTCTAAAAATGAAACATTGGCAAAGATACAAAATTGAAAATAGAATCATTCTAAAAGCGAAAAATTGTAAAAAAGAAAAATCAGATAATTGTAAAGTAGAAAAGTTACAGAACTTGAAAATTGAAAAATGGTGAAATTATGAAACTGAAAAATCACAAACCTTTGAAGATCGAAATTTTGAAAAATTAAAAATCGAAAGAATAAAATTCAGATAATTGAAAAATCAAGAATTGAATAATTGAAACAACGAACAATTTTTAAAACGAAGAATATAAAATTGAAAATTGGGAAATTGTTAATTAAAAATCCAATAATTGGGACAATCAAAAAATTGTAAGACTGTAAAATTCAAAATTGAAAAATCGGATACCTTTAAAAACGACGAATTGTAAAATAATTAAACTGAAAATTCAAAAACTTGAAAAATTAAAACAGAAATTTTGAACAATTAAAACAAAAAAAAATTGAAAATTGTAAAATGGTGAAACTAGAAAATTGTAAAATTTCTAAATTGGAAAATCGAACAAATAAAAAATAAAAAATAAAAAATGGAAAAATCGAGGAATTGGGAAATCTGATAATTGAAAAATAAAATTTGAAAAATTGATTCATTAAAACCGGGACAATCGAAAAATCGAAAGATTGTAAAAACATACATGAAACATCAAAAAATTGCAAAATTACAAAACCGAAAAATCGTATAATTTAAAACTTGAAAAATCAGGCAGTAGTAAAACAGAAAAATTACAAAATTATAAATCTGAAAAATCAAAAAATTAGAAAATCGAAACAATGACATTCAGATAACTTAAGAATCAAAAATTAAAAAATCGGATACCTTTAAAAACGAAAAATTCTAAAATAATTAAACCGAAAAATCAAAAATTTGAAAAATTAAAATTGAAATTTTCATCAATTAAAAATAAAAAAATTGAAACTTGTAAAATGGTAAAACTACAAAATTGAAAAATTGGATAATCGTCAACTCGAAAATTTATTAAACTGTAAAAATGAAAAATCGCAAAATTTCTAAATTGAAAAATCGAACATACGAAAAATGAAAAATCGAAATATGGAAAACTCGAAGAATTAGAAAATCTGTTAATTGAAAAATCAAAATTTGGAAAACTGATTCATTACATTTGAGAAATCGAAAAATAAAAAATTGCAAAATATAAAATTGAAAAATCAAATAAAGGTAAACTCGAGAAATGGTAAAATTGTGAAATTGAAAAAAAATCTGATAACTGTAAAATCAAAAATTGAAAAATCCAAACATTTTGAAATCGAAAAAATTCTAAAATTCAAATATCAAAGAATTGAAAAATGAAAAATCAAAGCAACTGGAAAATCTGATAATTGAAAAATTGTTTTATTAAAACCGGACAACTGGAAAATCGAAAAATTCTAAAAATATAAAACTGAAAAATCAAAAATTACAAATTACAAAATTGAAAAATTAGTCTAAAGTTATTTAGACCAAATTTTCCGAATTTTATTTGTTTTTATGAAAATAATTTTTATGATGATAAGATTGATAAGTTAAAAAATGCTAATATAGGTAACCTTAAAATAAAATGATGAAAAATATTTTAGGGGGTATATTTTGATTAAAATTTTACCATAAATTTCAAACCAAGATTTTTTGGTAAAACTTTAAAAACACTGATGACGTAAAAGTTACAAGGTTAGAGTCAGTAGTCTTTGGGCATATTACAGTTAAAAAACTAAGACAGAATTTTGAATAGTTCTTGAAATATGGCGTAATAAAAATCAAAAAACGCAATTTTAAAATTATGAAAATTCAAGAAATAATTGGATTTAATACGAAATTTTAATACATAAAAATCGAATTTTAACACAAATAGAACCCGATTGACAAAAACTTTGTGACAAATTGTGTAAGTTTCATGTACCAACTTCTTCAGAAATTGATAAGTCTTTGATAACTGACAAGACCGCCGCGAATTCTTCCATATAAAATGCATTATGCGAAGAACAAAAAAAGAATGAGCTAACTTATCCACACTTTTTGTTTTTTTTTTTTTTAATTTCGAATACTTTGACTGCGTAGATATATACAAAGTTGTACACTCCTACAAACGGATGTTTTTCTGCAATCTCTGACTGGCATCATCACTGAATATAAAAACTACAATCAATCGCTAGACAACGTATAATTTTTAGTTTTCATCGTTACGCGGAATTTCAATCAGTGAATCGCACTGAATATTTAACAAAGAATCGCACTGCACGTAGAACACACGTTTTATAAATGCACGAATGCACAGAATTACAATTTTATTATGAATTCTAACAAGCACGTTTGTTATTTCTGGTTAATATCCCTCATAATCCCACAACCGCAATCAAACTTAAAAAACATATTTTCACACCGTAATTAATTAAATCCGCTCCGACCACTAGACTAAAAACAACTTAAAAATGCAAAAATATGTTAATTCGATCGAGTTATAACGAGCGATAAAAAACCCTGTCATTAAAACGTATGTCTAAATTTAAATCGCACGATATGTCACAAAAAGTGGGGTTATAACGAAGTGGCGTGATGCAAACATGAATTAAAAGTAATTGCAGACAAGTGATCAAAAAATGAGTATTTCCAGCACATTTCATAATAACGACTTGAGTGTCAATGGAAGAATTTTTTTAACTACTTTCGAACATCAGTGGGTGTCATTACAATGAAACTGACTTTCGTAACGCACTTTTGCGACATCTGAAATCAGTGTTCTTTGGTAATTTGCAATTTTAAATTTTGTTCCAAATTAGGACAACATCTGTTGAAATTACGTTAGTAAATCACACATATAACGTCACATATCGCCTCATTTCCTATAAACAAAACACGATTATGCAGTGAAAACACGGTTTGCAATTCTCTCGTGAATATTACATAAAGTCCAATAAATATTAATATCCTGTGGTTTACATGATGTTTGGAAACGCAGCACACTTTGTTTTTAACTCATTAATTTCGTAATTGTATAATTTCGATCGCGCGAATTTTTCGAGTACCCTCGTACCACCAGCGTCGGTACTTTCCGATCACCCCTCGTACACGATTCTCACCTCCTCTTTTTTTCAGAGACGCTGCGTAAATATCCGCCAGCGCCGGTGTTCCTGAGGAAATGTACGAAAACTTATCGTGTACCGGAAACCGACGTTATTATCGAGGAGGGATTATCGGTGTTGATCCCGGCTTATGGATTACACAGAGATCCGGAATATTTCCCGGATCCCGAAAACTTCGATCCAGGACGCTTCAACGAAGACAATAAGACGAAAATATGGGATTACACTTACATTCCTTTCGGTGACGGTCCTCGCATTTGCATTGGTAATTATCCAGTCAATAGCTTTATAGAGGACTTTCGATGACACACTTTTGTGTCGGGTGTTTGCATGTTCGATTTACTTTCGCTTGTTGATTTTTTTTTGTAAATCGGGAAACAAAATCTTGACATAAGGTGTTTTATTTACGTTTGTTCAATGTACGTATGAGCTGACGGAGACTTTCTCTTACAATATGAAAACGAAGTAGTTTTTAATTGAGTTTGGAAGCTTCATTCGTATTTACGTTTGTATGCAAATTGAGTTAAGTGAGAGGGTGATGGGGTTAATGTTAGCTTCAATATTTTTGGTAAACAGATTTCTCCACAAGCTCACGTTTCGGACCAGTTCTTGATGAGTACTTTATTTGTAATTAATAGAATTTCACCAACAAGAACTGCGTTTATTAATTACATACAATACGAAAAGGCGGATTTCTCCAACCGCCACTAGACAGACCCCCAAAGCATTACGAGTATTTTAAACTTGAAGCAGCTTTGGTCACATTTGGAGTAGAAGAAACGTTCTAGCTTTCGGAAATTCATGGACCTTTACAAAACAACGAAAACGATATAAATACATGTTTGTCCACGTAACTAATTAATTTTACGACTTATAAAATATAAGGAAAAAAATGGCCAAGTCTAGAGTAAATTTATAGTCAATACGAAGAGCTAATTTTATCCATTTTCAAATCATAATACCCAGACAGCAATAAGAACACGATCAAAAATAGACATGGTAACTAAGTATTGTTGTAATTAAGTCCGTCGGCTGACTGGCCACTTTCATGTTTTCTCGATGTTTCAAAGTATGAAAAAATCCCCGGTCTCCTGTTTCGGTCTGTCTGTCTGTCTGTTCCGATTTGAATTAGATAGATAATCTCCGAAACTACTGGATCGATTGTTGCCAAATTTTGACGTATGCTAGGAATATAGATGGTAAAATGCTAACCAAAATTTGTCGGCCCATCCCCACCAACAATAAAATGACGTCATCTCCTAATTTTACACTTGAAAATAGAATGTAAATTTTATAAAATCATGTAATTGGTCCGTTCGTGGTGTATGACTCCGTGTTAAATTTTTATCCTAGATATCGAGATTTTGGAAAAAATTCAAGGTTGTAGAATTTTTCGAATTTTCGATATTTCAGTGTTGGGATTTTTTAATACTTCGCTTCTATAATTTCTCGATTTTCCAAATTTTCGATTTCTCGATTTTTTCATTTTTAGATTTCCCAATTTTCCAATGCTTCAGTTTTACGATTTTTCAATTTTTTGACTCTCCAGTTTTTCGATTTTTAAAATTTTTAAATTTTCAATTTTTCGATTTCTCATTTTCTCGAATGAACAAGTTTTTAATTTGCTTATTTCTCGATTTCTCGACTTTTTAATGTTTCGATTTTTCAGTTTCGATTACCCAATTTTTCGATTTTTCGATTATGTACTCATTCTTTGGATATTTCAGTGTTGGGTTTTTTAATTCTTCAGTTTCTTCATTCATGAAATTTTCGATTTCTTGATTTTTAAATTTCGCAATTTTCCGATGTTTCGGTTTCATGATTTTCCAATTTTTCGATTTTTCAGTTTTTGACGTTTCTAAATTATCAATTTTTCGATTTCTCAATTTCTCGAATAGTCAATTTTTTAATTTGCCGAGTTCTCGGTTTCACGACTGTCCAAGGTTTGGATAATTCAGTTTTTCATTTCTTCAATTTCTCAATATTTTAATTTTTCAATTTTTCGATTAATCAAATTTTCGATGTTTCAATGTTGGGATTTTTGAATTTTTCGAGCTTTAAATTTGTCGATTCCTCAAATTTTCGAAATCTCGATTTCTTCATTTTTAAATTACTCAATTTTCCAATGTTGCAGTTTTACGATTTTTCAATTTTTTGCCTCTCCAATTTTTCAATTTTTTCAATTTTTAACATTTCTAAATTTTCAATTTTCGGTTACTCAATTTCTCGAATAATCACCTTTTTTATTCCCTTATTTCTAGATTTCTCGACTTTTCAGTGTTTCGATTTTTCAATTTTTCAATGTTTGACCTTTCTAAATTTTGAATTTTTCAATTTCTCAATTTCTCCGATAATCAATTTTTTAAATCTCATATTTCCCAATTTCTCTAATTTTCAGTGTTTCCATTTTTCAGTTTCTCATTTCTTTCAATTTTTCGATATTGCAGTTTCTCCATTCATCAAATTTTTGATTTCTCGATTTCTTCATTTTTAAATTTCTCAATTTTCCGATATTTCGGTTTTATGATTTTTCAATTTTTCGGCTTTCCAATTTTTCGATTTTTCAATTTTTGACGTTTCTAAATTTTCAATTTTTCGTTTTCTCAATTTCTAGAACAGTCAATTTTTTGATTTGCCGAGTTCTCAATTTCTCGACGTTTCAAGGTTTGGATAATTCAGTTTTTCATTTCTTCAATTTTTCGATATTTTAATTTTTCAATTTTAAGATTAGTCAAATTTTCGATGTTTCAATGTTGGGATTTTTGAATTTTTCGAGTTTTAAATTTGTCGATTCCTCAAATTTTCGAATTCTCGATTTCTTCATTTTTAAATTTCTCAATTTTCCAATGTTTCAGTTTTACGATTTTTCAATTTTTTGGCTCTCCAATTTTTCAATTTTTCAATTTTTAAAATTTCTAAATTTTCAATTTTTCGGTTGCTCAATTTCTCGAATAATCACCTTTTTTATTCTCTTATTTCTAGATTTCTCGACTTTTCAATGTTTCGATTTTTCAATTTCTCATTTCTTCAGTTTTTCGATTTTTCAATTTTTCAATGTTTGACCTTTCTAAATTTTGAATTTTCCGATTTCACAATTTCTCCGATAATCAATTTTTTAAATCTCATATTTCCCAATTTCTCCACTTTTCAGTGTTTCCATTTTTCAGTTTCTCATTTCTTTCAATTTTTCGATATTGCAGTTTCTCCATTCATCAAATTTTCGATTTCTCGATTTCTTCATTTTTAAATTTCTCAATTTTCCGATACTTCGGTTTTATGATTTTTCAATTTTTCGGCTTTCCAATTTTTCGATTTTTCAATTTTTGACGTTTCTAAATTTTCAATTTTTCGATTTCTCAATTTCTGGAATAGTCAATTTTTTTATTTGCCGAGTTCTCAATTTCTCGACGTTTCAAGGTTTGGATAATTCAGTTTTTCATTTCTTCAATTTTTCGATATTTTAATTTTTCAATTTTTCGATTAGTCAAATTTTCGATGTTTCAATGTTGGGATTTTTGAATTTTTCGAGTTTTAAATTTGTCGATTCCTCAAATTTTCGAATTCTCGATTTCTTCATTTTTAAATTTCTCAATTTTCCAATGTTTCAGTTTTACGATTTTTCAATTTTTTGCCTCTCCAATTTTTCAATTTTTCGGTTTCTCAATTTCTCGAATAATCAATCTTTTTATTCTCTTTATTTCTCGATTTCTCGAGTTTTCAAAATTTCGATAATTCAGTTTCCCATTTCTTCAATTTTTCAATTTTTCGATTTCTTCATTTTTACATTTCTCAATTTACCAATGTTCCAGTTTTACGATTTTTCAATTTTTTAACTCTCCAATTTTTCTATTTTTAAAATTTTTAAAAGTTTTAAATTTTCAATTTATCGATTTCTCGATTTTTCAATGTTTCGATTTTTCGGTTTCCCATTTCTTCAATTTTTCGATTACCAAATTTTTCGATTTTTCGATTATGTACGCATTCTTTGGATATTTCAGTGTTGAGTTTTTTAATTCTTCAGTTTCTTCATTCATGAAATTTTCGATTTCTCGATTTTTTCATTTTTAAATTTCTCAATTTTCCGGTGTTTCGGTTTTATGATTTTTCAATTTTTCGACTTTCCAATTTTTCGATTTTTCAATTTTTGACGTTTCTAATTTTCAATTTTTCGATTTCTCAATTTCTCGATTTCTCGACTTATCGGGGTTTCGATAATTCAGTTTTTCATTTCTTCAATTTTTCACTATTTTAATTTTTCAATTTTTCGATGTTTCAATGTTGGGTTTTTGAATTTTTCGATTTCTTCATTTTTAGATTTCTCAATTTTCCAATGTTTCAGTTTTACGATTTTTCAATTTTTTGACTCTCCAATTTTTCAATTTTTCAATTTTTAACTTTTCTAAAGTATCAATTTTCCGGTTTCTCAATTTCTCGAATAATCACCTTTTTTTTCTCTTATTTCTAGATTTCTCGACTTTTCAATGTTTCGATTTTTCAATTTCTCATTTCTTCAGTTTTTCGATTATTCAATTTTTCGATGTTTCGATTGTACACTAATTCTTTCGATATTTCAGTGTTGGAGTTTTAAATTTTTCGATTCTTCAGTTTCTTCATTCATCAAATTTTCGATTTGTCGGTTTCTTCATTTTTAGATTTCTTTATTTTCTGACGTTTCGGTTTTACGATTTTTCAATTTTTCGATTTCTCGAATTTGCAGGGTTTTGATAATTCAGTTTTTCATTTCTTCAGTTTTTCGATACTTTAATTTTTCAATTTTTCGATGTTTCAGTGATGGGATTTTTGAATTTTTCGATTTTTCAATTACTCGATTTTACAAATATTCGATTTCTCGATTTCTTCATTTTTACATTTCTCAATTTTCCAATGTTTCAGTTTTACGATTTTTCAATTTTTTGACTCTCCAGTTTTTCGATTTTTCAATGTTTGACCTTTCTAAATTTTTAATTTTTCGATTTCTCAATTTCTAGGATAATCAATTTTTTAATTCTCATATCTCCCAATTTCTCTACTTTTCAGTGTTCCGATTTTTCAGTTTCTCATTTCTTTAGATTTTTCGATTATGTACTCAATTTTTCGATATTTCAGTTTCTCCATTCATCATTTCGGTTCTACGATTTTTTAATTTTTCGACTCTCCAATTTTTCGATTTCTCAATTTCTCGAATAATCGATTTTTTGATTTTCTCATTTCTCGATTTTTCGACGTTTCAATGTTTCAGTTATTCAGTTTTTCATTTCTTCAATT